GTGACCGCCGAGGCAAAAGCCCATCGAGCCGAACGCGCCGCTGCACCACGGCTGCGTCTTGGCCCACGCGATCGCCGCCGCATTGTCGCTGTCGTACGTGGTCACAAGCTTGGCGCTCTTGTCTGCGTTGCCCTTGTCCTTGCCAGCGTCGTCGTACGCGAGAATCGTGCCAATTGGGTTGAGCTCGTGGAACACTTCCTGCACGAGCACGACGTAGCCATGGCCCGCGACGTAGCGCGCCGTGCGCTCGATGGGCCCGGTCTGCTGGAAGATCTCGGAGAAGAGGAGGATCGTCGGGTACCGCGTCGACGCGTCCGTTGGGCGGTGGACATACGTCCGCATGACGCCCGTCGGCGTCGGCAGGTCCACGTGTTCGCTCACGATCATCATTTTTCAAATGGACGATGGCCAGCGACCGGCGACGTTGATTGGCCAATGTTGCGACCTTGGGGGTCGTACAAATCTGGACGACCCCGTTCGTGTCTATATGCACAACACCGTCAATTTGGCGTCTTCACTGGCAGCTGCTACCGCGACACCACGTGCTCTGCCAGGCTTGTAGCATTCCTCTCGTTTTGAACGTATTCGAACGAGTCCCTGGACTCGAGACCAATCCTGTATGGATGGCCTTGCTGTACGATCCACTGTACTACCAAGACACTGTTCACATTCTGTAATCAAAAAGTCAAGCCAACAGACCGGTTTATGCTACGCCGTGGTGGCGCGGCGGGCGCGGAACCGCCGCTGGAGCGTGTTGGCGACGCGGTGCATGGCAGCCTGGTTGATCAAGACGAAGATCTTATCGTCGGCGTGGACGATCGCGTCGGCGTACGGCGCCGTGTAGACGTAATCCTTTTGCGCGCCATTCCGGTGCGACGGCGCGCGCAAGAGACCAATCGGGAGCGCGACCGCGTGCCGCGTCGCCGCCGTCATCTTGTGGAAGAGGTCGCCGTACGTGAGGCGGAGGCGGCGCCATGGCTTGGGCACGTCGTAGAGCATAAAGACGTTTTTGCCGTCGAGGACGTGCTGGATGAAGACGTTGACGCTCGGGTTGAAGAAGCTCTGGATCAGAAGCTCGTCGGCCACGTAGCCCGGGAAGAGCGTGCCGCACATGAAGCGCTCCTGGAAGAACGTGTCGTTGTCTTCCATGTGGAACCGATGCATGAGCGCCGCCATCTGCTTGTTGGCCAGCGGATCCTCCGACGAGGCGGCCACCTCGCACTCGTGGTAGTTGCCCGTAAAGGCGTTCCGAAGCACGTGCAAGCCGTCGCGCGCGTCCACAACGCGGTCCTGGAACCAGTGCGGGAGGCGCAGAAGCGTCGAGGGCGGCGGCGCCACCGACAGCATCGACGACCGGTCGGGCTGCGAGAGCCGCGCGGGGGCGTCGAGCATCGGCAAGGCGGCCAGCGAGAGGTGGCGTTCCGAGTGGAACGAGGTGCTGCGGTGGAGCGGGTCCAGAAACTTGTTGAAGTGTTCGTCCTTGAGCTCAATGATCGAGAAGACGTTCGAGTCGCGGATCGCCGCGTCAATCAGGATCGCGTTAAAGATGGCTTTCGAGTCATCGTTGTTCTAGATTGGACACGCATGAGACAAGGGAAGACACAGCACGTGGGTACCCCTTCGGAGCCTTGGTCGAGCACGACGATGGCCGATGCGTTATACACGCCTGCGCGCACGAGCGTGCTGTGCTTTTGCGGCGAGCCTACGCGATCGAGTGGTCACCGAGCCGTCCTCCCAATCTCGTCGTCGCACCTTGGACGTGGTAGACGTCGCCAAAGACGCTGAGCTGCGCCCACGCGCTGCTCGTGAACGTGGCGGGATCCACAATCACGACGGGGACCGGTCCGGTTACGTGGTCCTTGCGCAGCGGCCGCAGAAAGTTCACGAGCCGCGACATGGAGTGCCCACCCGAGAGCGACACGCCGCTAGACGCACAGGTGTGTGAGCCAAGAAAAAGATAGCGCGTAGAAGGACCTGCAAATGATGATGTGGTCGCCAGCACGGATGAGGTCGGCGGGCGGACTCGGCGGCGCGTCAAGCGTCTCGAGCCGGTCAATGTACGACCGCACGTTCTGTGGAATCGCCTTCTCGACCTACACCAAGCAAGACGTGAGCGACGGTAGTGTACACTACGTCGGAACGTCGTACGTTGTGCCGGGCCCGCTCGGCGCGCGCCACGAGGTTGGGACGCGCGCGCAAAAGCGCGGCCATCGAGTGACTCCGAAAGAGGTTGCCGACCGCCGAGTAGCGGACGAGGTCCTTCATCGAGTCGGCGATGACATACACCTGCGCGAATTCGATCAGAACGGCCGCAGACAGACAAGCGGTACGACCTTGGAGGACGGTTGGATGCGCTGTGTGTGCCCCGGGTTGCAGTGCACGTCTTGGTGGTGCTCGATCGCAATCACGAGCACCTGCCCCTGCGTCTCATCAAAAATCGCGACCGTGACGTCCGTAAACGTCTTGCCGTGGTAGCTACGGACGCGATGAACACACGTCTTGAACGAAGGACGTGTACCGTGCGTTGAGGTAGATGGAGTAGATCTCTTTGCCTGCGCCCGTGACGTACTCGTCCGCCCAGAGCGGGAGCGGCTCACCGTCGTCATTGGCGATCTTGCTGTCAAAGGACCCAATCAAGTTGGAGATGAGCGTCGAGAGGCCCTTGCAGCGACAGCTCAAGCCCATCAAACCGAGTTTGATTTCGTCCGAGCACACCTATCGACGAGTCGTTTATAGCGGCGGCACGAGCCGATTTCGCCCCACCAGGTGGTCGCTCTTGATGCCCGTGGCTTCCAAAAGCACGCGGTTCTCCGAGTTGACGAGCATCGCAAAGAGCTGTGTGTGCGCGCCCTTGTGGTTCGAGACCGAGAGGACGCGAAGCACATTCGCGGCATCTTCCTGGTTGGCGTTGGTCGCATACTTGTTGGGGATGAAAAACACCTACACATAGAATATGTCGTCGTCGCGCTCGGTGCCGTGACGCACCGCGAGCGCGTCATGCACTTTGGCCCGGTTGAGGTCGACTTCCTCGAGCGGCGATCCCGCGAGCATGGTCACCTTGCCGTGGTACTGCGGGTGGCTGCGGATGTACTCTTGCAGCGTGTTTTGGACTTCGCGCTCGATCTCTTCGTCCTGGAACTCCATGAGCACCACAACGTGCGCTTGCTGGTGAAACTGCTGCGGCCGGCGCAGTCGGCTGCCTGCCGTCGATGTCGTCGTCGAGAAGAGCGCTTCGTGGTCCGGGTGGAAGAACTCGCGGATGAAATCCATCACCTGCACCGCCGACGGGTTGCCGGTGACGACGACGTGCTGGACGTTGCGGCGCAACGTGTACTTGGTCCGGCCCATGCGCTGGTCCTCGTAGATAGCGACGAGCCGCGCCGTCTCTTGCGCAAACGTGTAGATGCCCGTGACAATGAAGAAGAGCACCGAGACGCGGCCGCACACGGTCTTGGGCCTAGAGGTCATTTTGGTCAGTTTTGAAAACGATCAAGTCCCACGACGCACGTAAAGTCGCCGTAGCCGACGGTCGAGACGGTCACGAGCATAAAGTAAAAGGACGTGAAGAGACTCATGGCTTCCGTGCAGAGCCCGGCGTCGTAGCCGTCCGTGTTGTTGCTCGGCACGAGGTCGCCCGCGCGGGTGGGGCACATGTACACGTGGAAGAAGTACGAGTCGGTACCCGGGATTTCGCCAAGGCGCTCGAGCGAGTAGAGCACGGCGGCCGCTACAACAGCAGTTCGTTCGATGCATTCGATCGCTTCGAGGGCATAGAGTACCAAAGAAGACGAGGCAGCCGGCCTTGATCATAAAGCCCACGAGCTGCGCATGGAACGACTTGTAGCTCTACAAACAGGTTGCGAGGAAGCATACGAATGGAAATACATGGGAGGCGAACCTCAAAGAGATGCTGCACAACGTAGTAGATGATGTACGACCGGAGAAAGGCGAGGTCGAGCCACGAGTAGCGCTCCTTGCCCGTCGTCTAGCCAAGAACATGAGAATCTAGCTGGTGCTAGAGTGTAGATGCACCGGCGTCGTCGCCAGCGAGAAATGCGACGCGATCGAGAGCAGATCAAAGAGGTTGGAGAGGCGGACGACGTGGTAAAACCTACAGAGAGAGACGCATTAGAGGCACGTTCGCATACGAATCGTCGAGAAGCGCACTTGTGCTTGGCGCCGAGCCAGCGAAGGACGTAGTTGAAGGCGCAGAGACCCATGAGGAGCGACTCGATCGTCCACGTGGCCGGGTCGAGGCTGAGCGCACCGGCCCGGGCAACTATGGACCGTGCATGAGCATCCGCTTTGTATCAATCGCCGACATACTCCAAGACATGCACGCGTAGAGCGACGCGACGAGTTGCACGCCGTAGGCCTATAACCACGTCGTCGTCGTGAGCAAGGCCAACGAGGATCGAGCGTGTACGAGCGAGTGGGCGAACGACGAGTCCCAGAACGACCGCATCTTCTCAATATGCTTGTTCTGCGCGAGGTCGAGCCACTCGAAGAGCACAGACGCGCCAAAGATCGGCGTCTGGATGAGCAGCCAGAGCTTCACTTGCTGCCAAATGAGGTGCCACGAGGCCGTGTAGCAGTTCTTATTGGTGTCGAGGAGGGCGCACGCCTTCTCGGCGATCAAGGGCGCGACCACGGACGTCGTCGAGTTCATGAAGCTGTCCCAGTCCGGCACGAACGTGTCGTTGACCCACGAAGCGTTCTTGAAGCGTGTAGAGACCTGCTCGAGCATGCTGCTTTCGGCCCTGCAGTCGCGATGCCAGATGCATTAGCTACGGTACCCGTCGCCCAATCAGCGTGGGGCTGCGTTCGCCGCCTGCGATTGGCTGTTTCCATGGAACCGAAGTTGCGGCCTCGTGTCGTGTTTAAAGTATACCCATTCGAAGTTGCACCAGATGGCGTACAATTATTATTCATCATATTGTGGCATCGAATAAAAAATCTGCGGCACAGTATAGCAATACCTTGTCAAAAATCGCTGCGGCTCAAAATAATTTCGAAGCGATGCGTACCCGAGGAACTTCGAATCGAAGCTCACGCCGACGTGATCGCTTCGTGGACGCAGCCGAAGGGTTAGAAACACCCAACTTTTCGAGTCGGCTGTGGCCACGGCAGCGTTGGTCGCTATCGTATAAAGCTCTCTTGCACATGCAGTCGTCGAAGGCCGCTGCATTCGTGTCCCGTATAATATCTGCATTGTGCGAGTCGCTCTCTGGGCTCATTTTTTCTGGTTCCGAGACGACGTGTGAAAGATACCAGATCCAGATTCTGAAGCAGTCCGCGATTCTCGTAGCACTTGATCACTGGCGTGTTGTCGATTTCCCGCCACAAGAATTCCCTTCGCGAGCTGGCTCCACCGCTTGGCGTGAAGAGTCCGAGACGAGCGATCCCATTGCGATCTTCCAACGCCGTCACAGTCACTGTCTCGTATACACCCTCGTGGCAGATTGTGGGGTCGGAACGGACAAGGGTGTGGACAAAGTCGTCATGCAGCCCACGGCAGGACCCTGGGATGTCCATGGACGCCGGTATCTTTCCCCAGGTTGCGTGGGGGCATCCGGTCCTAGTTGTAGGCCGAGTTGAAGTGCGGAGGTGGACCTTCGCGACTAATTAGGCGCGGAATCGCCTGTGATAAGGATCATTCGAAAATCGGGGCTTCGAAAAAATCTTTGTCATTTTTGGAATTGCCCCGTGGCCCAGAAGCGAAGTATGTTGACCGAGGTGGTTGACGTCAAGAAGTTCCACGACTATGGCTTCGAGTGCATGGGGCTCTTCGCCAAGGACGATCTGCCCAAGGGCACGCTCATCTGGTACTCGCAGGACATTGACGTCGTCGACATCTACACCAAGGCCGAGATCCTCGCGCACCCGCAGAAGGACACGCTCATCACCTACTCGTACATGCGCGGCGACGACAGTACATTCCATGGCCATGGCCTATGGCTAATGCCTCCATGTAGAGTTTGGCACGACGCTGAACCCGTCGTCCGACCCGAGCTGGTATTTTAACCACTCGTGCGACCCGACGACGTGGTACGAAGGCGACGAGCGCATCACGACGTGCCGCGACGTCAAGAAGGGCGAGCAGCTGACGTACGACTATGCGTGCACCGAGACCGAGTCGTCGATGCACTACGGCTTGCAGTGCCTATGTGGCACGGCGGCGTGCCGTGGCGTGCTCACGTTCTCCGAGTGGCGCTCGCGCAAGTTCATTAAGAAGAACCGCGACCATTTGAACGACCACGTGTGGAAAAAACACTCGGAGAACAGTTGGTATGACCCGCGCGCCGAGGTGCGCACCAAGTCGGGCGATGCCATGGGGCTCTTTGCGCGCCTTCACAAGGACGCGGTGATCAAGAAGGGCGAGATTATCTGCGTCTTCTCGGGCAAGATCGTGCACCGCGACCACATCTTGGAGCCGGGCGCTGTCTCGAAGCGCGACTTTGAAATGTCGTTGCAGGTGGCGCCGACGCTGTGGCAGATTCCGTCGTGGAAGGTATGCAGATGCGCATTTTGTGATCCGATCTCGAAAGCATGGTGCAGGAGAGCGGCGAGAAGTGCGACACAAGTGACTACATCAACCATTCGTGCGACCCGTCGTGTGGCATGAAGGACTCGGTCACGGTGCACGCCATCCGCGACATCTACCCCGGTGACGAGATCACGATCGACTACGCCATGGTATGGCCTCGTGCCCTTCTTCTTTTAGCGATGGACCCAATAAATCACTTGCGTAGGTCAACGACGGCAGCATGGAGCAAGAAAGCGACAACTTTGACTGCCAGTGCGGCAGTGCCAGCTGCCGCGGGCGCATCACGTCAACGGACTGGCGTCTTCCCGAAGTCCGCAGCCGCCTTGGCGAGCACTTTTCGCCCTTCGTCAAGGAGCTTGTGCTGCGTGCCCAGGAGACGCCATAGGATATACTAGCTCTACAGGTGTAACAAGCACCTCAATTCTGATGTATACGACGACGCACTTGGGTGCATCGAGCGCGCGCCTGCGATGTGGACAGACCATCGATCTGATCGGCGAGCTGGTCCATTGACAGAGCCGAGGCAGCTGCGCCGCATAGATGTTCCAGGGAGGAATCTGCGTGTCGATCATGGTGATGCACCGCGGCTGTAGCGTCGTCGAGGCCCACGGACTCATCGAGGTGCAGAGAAGATCGCAATTTCGCGATCTTTGACCAGGCTGACAATAAGATCGGAGTCGGCATGTTGGACTTCTCTGCTTCTGGATTGGCCAAAATGGCAGGTGACTGACCAATCAAAGCGGTGGGATCGGCATATCCAAGAAGCGAGGAAGCGAGCAAGATGCAGCAAGTCTGCGACTGGTCGATGGCCGTGCCGATCGCCCGTGGCCGCCTCATGCCCATGGCGCCTCTGGTTATGAAGGGCGATCCAGGCTCGGGGAGGCTCGTGCTGGACTTGTCCCTGCCCGTGCCGCCACCACGGTGCGCCGTTGGCATCTCGCAAGCGACCATGGGCGTGAAGAAGGAAGAAAAGTTTCCAAGCCCAGCGCATCTTGTTGTTTCGCCGAGTCAAGTACCAAAGCGCCCATACCCCGAAGAGGCTTACGCTAACAACGTTCGCAACGTACGGCGCGCTTTCGACCGGCGCTGCTCCGTCGAAAGTCCCAGCAAGTCCTCGGCCACCCCGCCTGCTTGGCCGCAGCAACGTCTGCAGGCAGCGCCTTCACTAGAGCCCGAGTTGATGAACGCCTTTGTGAAGCTCGAGACCCGGCCACTGCAAGACGCAGCGCCACGGGTCGACTTGAACGCGTAGGATGCATACTGATATGCCTTGTTGCAGGTCGCCACCGCTGGCCACCCCGCGCCGCGTGCATCGTGGGCTGCAGTACGTTTTATGAACCCGACAAAGGATCTCCACGTCAACTGTGTAGCTTCCAGACTTTGTCGCTCCGATTCCGATCTTTGTATCAGTCGCCGCGCCAACGCCGGCCATCCCGCCAGAGCTTGAAGCACCAGCACCGGACCCTTCCAGCTCGATGCTTCTTGAAGATACGGAAGTGCGGTCGCCGGTGGCGTCAATCGACACCGTGGGTAACGATGCTGATGACGACGCCCGGGATGACGATGACAGAGACGAACTACCTTCGCAGCCACCGATGCTGGACGACGTCGATGTGTACTACGGCGGCGGCGGGTTTGAATGGACAGCCGGCAACGTCGTTGGCGAGGTGGGCGAAATGTACGAGCTGTCGCAAGACGGGCATCGATTGTAACTTTCAAACGATAGTGTTGCGCTGTGCATATGCTAGTATGTGGCGCACTTGACCTCTTTACTGCTCGGAGCTGCCAGTGCAGACTTCCTCAAAGAGCCGGAGGATCATGAGCGGGTTGCCGTTCGTGGCCTGCAGCTGCGGGCTCGTGCACAGGAGCTGCGCCAACTCGGTCGGCGACAGAGTTGTCTTGGGCTCGGCCACCTGCAGTCGCGCGTACTGCATTCTATCCATGGGCTGACTATTGAGCTTCGCAAAGAGGGTCGCGGCGTCCAAGGGCGAGAGCGGCGGCACCGCGTATGTCGCCCGCAAATACACCTTGTCGTTGACGAGCGGCATCTCAAAGGCCTCTTGCGCCGTGAGCAGAATGCGCAGCGACCGGTGCGACTTGAGAAGGTACTCGACAACCTTTTGGAGCCGCTCTCGCAGCGCGTTAGTTGCCAAGAGCAGATCGCAGTCGTCGATGACAGCAAACGCCGGCCAATCCGAGAGGTCGCCGGTGGCCTTGAGCTTTTGGAGAATGGTGTGGCCGAGCCGTGCCGCGTACGCCGCGTCGTCTTCGTTGGGGACGCACCGGAGCTGCTTCTGGAGCTCGCCGATCGAGGCCATGCACACGCGGTGCCATCCGCGCTGGCGCACATCCATGTAGCGAGCGATCGCGGTCGCCATCTCCGTCTTGCCTAGATACACATGCATGTTGGTTCCCAGACTCGAGAGACAATGACGACTCGTACCGATGCCGTGGTCGCCCGTGAGCGTCACAACACGGTTCGTCTCGAGCAGCATAAAGACATTGTACATGTCCAGATTGCGAAAGCCAAAGTTCTAGCATCCGCAACGTAGTATCAATGTATCAAGTATCACCAGCACAAAACAGTCCCTACCGTGCACGTGGTTTCGAGCATGGTCGGGTACATGAGCGACGTCGTTGGCGTCAAGGCTGTAGGCTCGTCTTGCGTGGTGGCTTCCATCCACTGCGACGCATCCCGCAAATCGTCCTCGAGTGACGACGACGAATTCGATTGGGGCTGCCGCTTTTCCTTGGGCGGGAAAATGGGCACTTCGTGGTTGCCGTCCACTGGCAGCAAGATAAACTTGCGCGCGACCTAGCGATCGTTGGTATCATTTACGCCGAGAATTGCTGTCTGAGCGAGGCCTACCTCGGCGGGGTTGGCCGTGCTATGCAGCACCGCCACCGCGCGTTGGCCCACGTCAAACGCTTCTTGGACGGTGCGCCCCGATGCAATCGACCCGTAAAAGTGACTACAGACAGAGAACGCATAAAGATGGATGCGTTCTCGGTCGCAAGGTACCGCGTAAAGGCGATCGCTGCCTTGTCCTCGAGCTCGGACGCGGGCTGCGTTGCGATGACGTGCTTGACTCCGCGAGCCAAGAAGGCCGCCGCTACGCCGCGACTACTGAGATTGCCATAGGATCGGAGTGGCGACTACCGATATTGGCCGACGCGCACGACGAGAGAAACACGAGCCGCAGCGCCATCTTGTCTGGTAGCAGCTCCATGATCTCGGCGGGGCTCACGGGCACGGCGGGCCCTGGCATCGATCCTTCCATGTACAGCCATTGGTCGTTGCCGTGGCCCGTAAAGTGCAGAATGGTCAGCGATGCACTCCACTCGCGGAACGACTGTTTGGTCGCGAGCCGCGTGTACACGTGGATTGGCTTGTGCACCGCGTGGACCTGGGCGGCGGCACCTACACGAGCGGGGCGTTCTAAAGTATACAATCAACAAAAAGTGGTTTTACCTTCCGAGTCTTCTGTGAGCGACTTTTGCTAGCACGTAGCATCGCATGAGCATCGAAATGAAATAGGGTAATGCGAAGAGGACGCACGAATTTGTCGAGGGCCTTCTTGAGGACATCCCGCACCGAGTGGTACTCATTCCGAAAGTCGAGTTCCTACACGCAAGGTATTGTCGTGCATCCTCGAGACAGCCTGGACGAACCGAGAGTGGCGACGGCGTTCCTGTCGCATGATCCAGCTCGACCAACGGCGACGCAAAGAGGATGCCCTGCTCGAGCGTAAGGGCAACCATGTCGTACACGAAGGACGTACGATGCTCGAGTCGTCTTCGGACCGGTCTTCGACGCGGTAGGCCACCAGCGGCTTCTTGTTCTTGTCCTCCAAGAGGACAATCATGTCCCGTTCGTGGAGCTGCACGAGGTCATCCGGCTTGCGCCCTACACGCACGTATGCAATCGCTGGCGAATGCTACAGGGTAATTCGTACGCAGGCGCTTGCCGTTGAGCGTGACGGGGTTGTGGCTAAAGTTGGCGATGCGCAGGCTCATGCTGCCGTCGGCCGCGAGGTCTGCCGAGAAGGTGCACATGAAGCGGCTCAGGCGGTGGTACGTGGCGTCGTCGGTAAAGACGCTGCGAAAGTCGGCGCGCAAGAGCGCGGCAAAGTTGTTGTAGTCGCGCGAGACGTCAATGATGCCAAGCCCGAGCGAGTACATTTCGTGGACCTGCTCGGCAGAGAGCGCGCAGTCGGGGCTTAGCACCAACCGCAGCGCGCATGGCTGGCGCTCGAGGTCGAACGAATCATACCGGAGGCGCTTCCGCGCTGGCAGCGCCATGGCGCTAGTGGGCCGCTTCTCGGGCTCGTGGCGACTCGGGCTCGGCGTGCCTGGCATGCCGAGGAGGTATTATTAACCAATGCGGTCGTGTGATTGGCCAAAAAGCCGACCAGCGACTGACATTGTAAGTTTGTATGCCCGAGGGCAAACTACAGGTATCCGGCCCAATCTCCATGACCCACGTTGCTCATACTGGGTAACGTTATCGTTAGTGAGGAAAGATTGATATTCGGAAGTTCCGAGGGTATAATTTAGGGCACGAAGCATCCCCACCGTGCTGCCAACAACCCTCGATCTCAAATTTCTGACCGTGGTTTTCAGTTTGAGTTTTCTTGCTGGAAAAACGCGGTTCCACGACAAGATCGTGCCCCTTCAAGATCGTCACGCACCGACATCGCGTTCAGTGGCACTTCTTCTGGCTCCTTGTGACCAAGCTTGATGTGCACACGCGCAGAGACCTCTCCCGAATGAATGCAAGGAAGCCGTTACCACTGGTCGGGCAGACGGTGGTCGTCGGTACGTGCCGCAGCGTACCGAATTCCGCGCTCGATCGACTACCACCGCAAGGTGGCAAGCAGTTCGAAGTGTACATGATTCTGTGTCGAGACAAGTTGAGCTCAAGTTGGCTCTGTAACTGCCAACTACTGTACAAGGTTCTCATCATCACGGTTTCACTTCGCGGGAAGACATGACATCATCCACCCCGAGTGCAGCATAGCGGATTGTACTGCAGCATCCTAGCGCTTGGCTATGCGGGTACGAGACGTCGTCCATCCATTATTCGCACTGCACGATCGCTGTGCGTCGACTCGCAGAGTAGGACGCTGAGCAGCAGCTACACCTCTCTCTGGGTGGTGGAAGGCGTTGCGAGCGTCCACCATCCCGGGTCTCGGGTTTCTACGTAGATGGAGCTTGTCGAGTCGACGGCGACCGAACTTTCGCGACCGCTTTTGCAGCCACCACGTTGGCTTTGTCAAAATTCTGTCACGTCGGCGCTGGACGCGCACCCAGAAGCGGCCCCGTGGCGCCCCAACAATCTGTTTCGTGTCAAGTCGAACGACCGCCCGCGTGCGACATACACCTGGTTCAACAAACTGTCCGACGCTTCAACGCGGTCAGTGGTCACGACGTTCTCCCCGCTCTCTCTGCATTCATCGTCGGTACAGAACGAAGCGTTTCATGGCGCTGTTATAACAGCCCCCTTTAACACGTCATCCTGTACTGATGTACCGACGTGGTGTCGCACCACGACACTCACGAGATGTGGCAAAGACACGCACGCAGGTATAGTGCGACACAAAGGAAGCAAAAGTCTTTATGCTGACGCTCATCCCCTTCCTTGTGGTCGACTTGATCAGAGGCGCGTCTGCCCGCGCCCTCGGCGTCACTGCCACGACGTTCTGTGCAGTGACTTGATCTTTGTATGCGCTGCCGGACGCAGGCGACGCGCTGGGGATTGCAGCTTAAAGCGAGCCAATCAAATGCAAGCTGCTGGTCGATGTGCGCGTTGAAATGCGGTCTAAAATATGCTTTTATATGACGTATTGGCTATGTCACAGGTGATCCAATTTTTATCTACCGATTTGTATTGCGAAATTGGCGGTTTCGTGGCGCAGATAGCGTGGGACGTTATAACTGTTGCGACAAGATTCGATTCTTCCCTGGCCAGTGCTGCCGTCGTCATGTGCTGGGAAACTTGAAGCGTCGGCCCATTTCTA